TTTCTCCAGAATTTCACGCAATTTCGGGTGTTTTATTTTTAATTTTTGACTTCTGTTTTAATGGAGTTTGATACCGCATGGCGAACAAAAAGAGAAACTTCCGCATTTCGTGACTTGGTGGTCCTTTAAGGTTGACAAAAATCGCTGCTTACATGGTAGACTCTTAATAAGAGTATTATCTCAATCATATTTAGAGTATTGGTGTCTTATGTAAATGTATTTAGAAAGTAATATGAAGTTGCAAGCTGTTAAAGACAGCCCATTCCTGTGTGTGTGTGTGTGTGTGTGTGTGTGTGTGTGTGTGTGTGTGTGTGTGTGTGTGTGTGTGTGTGTGTTTCTTAGCAACAAACCTGCATAAACTTCTGTAGCCACTAAATCAAAAAGTTACGAATTGCCGTGAGATTGCGTTGCACTCTCAGGTCGCATCATTCAAAAGAAAAGGGCCACATTGTCCCCCTATAATGTCAACAGACTGGACTGTCTTAGCAACTGACTAAATGTAAAAGAGGACTGAGTAAAATTGTTTCTACTTTATAATTAACGTTCTCAGCTCAACTTTACAATTGTTTGTATTCAATACTTTATTATTATTATTATAATTTTTTATTTTCCATATCTGCAATGCCTGTATTTTGGCTTTTTTTTTTTTTGCAGTCCACTTAAAATCCAACTTGGAAATATATATTTTTTTCTTTATTGGCATTGGTTATTTTGAAATTCAATTCGCCATTAATCGCGATTAATTTTCAAAAAAAGGTGTGATTAATTATTTTTTTTTTTTTCGATTGGCAGCACTATATTATATTATATTATATTATATTATATTATATTATATTATATTATATTATATTATATTATGTTATATTATATTATATTATATTATAAAGAGTGTCATAGTGTAATAATATTGTACTCAAATCGCTCATATATTAAAATATTGTGTAAACCGAAGAAGCGATTTTACAATTTTTTTTATTACTTTTATTGATTGCAAGAGATTAAAGACATCTTACTGAAGCAAGACATGAAAGAGAATGCAAGAGATTAAAGGTAGCATGCACTGAAACAAAATAGGGCTGATATGAACAGCAATTAGCCATTTATTAGAAGCCAGTTTTGGATTGCACCCTCCATTGGGGATGTGGATATGGAGCAGTTCGTCTATTTTGGCAATGAGTGTCACAATCACTTCAATCAGGAAGAGTATGTGTCTATGAGAGAGAGTGTGTGTGTGTGTGTGTGTGTGTGTGTGTGTGTGTTTGAGCGCAGTCTGAGCTTTGAATAGAGGAAGATTTCAAAGGGATCTTATCTGTCAGTTAGTCTGTGTGAAGCGACATGCCAAACTTCTCCTGCGATTGCATTTTCCTGCAGTGCTATCATGGGGAGTTTTCCAGGTAAATGTCACCTAATAAGCATTTGCTTTGTCACGGTCTGGATGTGCACCAAATATGAAGGTCATTTGGAGAAATGTCAGATTTATTTGGTGCTCTGTGATGCGCGGCAAGGCGTGTTATTCTTTATTTATAGATTTTTTTAAGCATGGAGAAAATGTTTAGAGGTTTCCAAAAATTGTGATAATCCCAGTTCTCTCTTATCTAGCATTGAAGCAGCCACACATTTTAGCAACTTTGCCTCAGATCTGTTGCTGTTAACTATAGCAGGCTTTAAATGTGATGGGAGAGAGGAGATTAAACTTATTTGATGATAAAGGTGATTAAAGTTACTTTTTGGTTTTTAAAAGTTTGGTATTTAATATAGAAATAATGTGATTAAAATGTTCATTTAATTGTTATTATTACTATAAATTATAAAAATGTAACCAACAAAGAAAAAAAAACAATTGTTTTTCGTCTCATTATTATACGGGGCCAAGCACCAAAGGTGCGTAGGCCCCTATTGTATCCGTTCCGGTTCTTATTATTGTTCTTCCGGCTTCCTCTTCCTCTTTTTCCTCTTCCACTCTGGGAGTCTATGGCAGACCTATAAACTGTTTGCAGCATTTACACAATCGTTGGCACACTGATAGAGGACAGTCTGATCTTCAACCACAACAAATTTGGACTCTCTAATTCAAACACTCTAGCGCCATCACTTGTCCAAAGTGTCACTTGTGTTTATCGTTATAACTTTTTGAACTGAATGGACAATCAAAATTCTTTTTTCTTCTGATTCCTTGGCTCAAGCTGATTCAAACACACCCTATGACGTAATTTTCTGTCATGAAAATTTTTTTCGCAAACAAACTTTGAACAAACTTATGAGTCCAATTTTCACTAAAATTGAATTACATGATCTACAGACCATGCTGACCGAAAGTTATTGAATTCAAGTTGATGAGACCAACCATTTTTGATTAACTTGCGAGCAAAATTACCATAGAGCTTGGTGTGTGTTATCATAACCATGGTCTGAAGTTACTGCAGTGTTTCGGCACACTGCCCCCTAGTGGTCTGGAGATACAAAAATGTATTTATTTTTTTGCTTGTAACTACTCAACTCTTGGTCCAAAACTCAAAAAATTCTTTTATGGACAAAATTCTTTTATGGGTGTCTTGTTTCATCCAGCGGAGCATCCCGAGTCGAATGATGTCTGATTTTACCGGGTCAGCCATTTTGGCAGTCGTTTATTTTGAATTATGTCAAAAATTGCTATATTTTACGAACGCATTGGCAAATTGAATGAAAGTCAATGTGTGTCTTCGGGACTGTGCCCTGAGGGTGCTCAAAAAGTTTTGTCATAGCGCCACCTTTTGCTCAAATGTTATAAAGAAATTTCTAAAAATGCTAATAACTTTTGACAAATTTTATATGAAACTTTTCTTGATACATTTATATGGTTGTCCTGAGAATATCGATAGTAATTATGCCTTAATTAACTGACTTTCCTGTCCGCCATCTAGCCTTAAGTCAGAAACCTACTTTTTCGAACTCCTCCTACGTCTGCCACCAAATTTCAGCTCTGCCATTGTCTCCTTACACTGACAATAGATAGAAATCATGCAAAGTTTATCAAATGAGTTTTCAATAGTTTTGTCTATTGTCATGAGACTGGTCTTGCAAACTCCCTGTATCATTCAATGAACATCAATATAATTTCTTCAATAATTGACATGACTTCCTGTTCAACATCTTGAATTAGTTTGAAAATCTGTTGTTTTGAACTCTTCATAGATCGTTAACCCAATGTCCACCAAATTTGGCTTAGACCATGCTTCCAAAAAGAATTTTCCAGTTGCTCTGTGGCTTGTTGCCGAGCTTGTTTATGGTGTGGCCGCTGGGCTGCTTGGCCTCGATAATTGCTGCTTGCAGCTAAATTTGTCATAATTGTTTTTATTATTATTATTTTTATCATTATTCAGGAGATGCAGTGGTGCAGAAGGTAGTGCTGTCGCCTCATAGCAAGAAAGTCGCTGGTTCGAGCCTCGGCTGGGTAAGTTGGCGTTTCTGTGTGGAGTTTGCATGTTCTCCCTGCGTTCGCATGGGTTTCCTCCGGGTGCTCCGGTTTCCAACACAGTCTAAAGACATGCTTATAAATAATAATAATAATAATAATATTAATAATAATAATAATAATAATAATAATAATAATATTATAACAAAGTTTGTTTCTTTATTGGTTACAATTTTTATAATTCAATACAAAAACATCAATAATAACAATAATAATAATAATAATAATAATAATAAAAACATCATTGTCATCTCATAATTTCATAATCATTGTCATAAACAGTAGCCATTAGGTAAAATATAAGTTAATATTTAATATTAAAATATAAATTTCAAATATTAAAAATAAAGTAATTATTCACTTTAAACTCACAGAGCACATCAGAAAACATTTATTGAATCTCAACACACTACTAGAGATTTTGGAAATCACAATAAACAATCTTATATTATCATGCAGTGTTTAAAATAATCAAAGTACTGCCAACTGGTCAGTTTAACACTCATTTAAAACCTGTTAAGGGTTTATTTCAGGGTCAAAATACTGTATGTGCATAAATAGTAGGTGATAGTTATAAATAACCAGATCATATCTAAAAATAAGATCTCTGGTAGGATCTTTAAACAAAAAAAATATTAGATGTTATAAGATGGTATTGTTATCCAGTGTATATATGCACATGGTAAAATAATGGCAATAATACTTGTTTTTCAGTAAGATTCTCAACATTGTAAATTAGAAATGATGTTCCCGGTGACATGATGCATGACTCACACACCAAGATAAATATTGACATTATCACATCAACAGAACGTGCATGTGAAGGGAATACACAACACGTTCTCACTCCCAACTCGTCATATACTGACGCTTGGTCAGGAACCCTCGGCGTCAGTTATTGACGCACAGGGTACCCCTTTAGCGTCATATTTAGACGTGCAGGGATTCCCTATAGAATCTGTGCCTGAGCCTGAGGCGTCATAGGGAGACGCTGGAGGCTCGTATAATTACCAATAGATGTCAACAAACTTTTTAAAACCTGATTTACGCCTATTATCACAGTTTTCTTATTTTAAAAATATGTAATTTTTATTTTGTTTATGAAAAGCGTCTGTAAACGGGGTCGAAACTACTGTATGAATAAACTTCGGCCCACGTGACATCCCTTCACGGTGAGTTTAACGCCGCTCTGCTATTGGTCAAACTGCATCAGCGGTGAGTTCTCAGATGAGTTCAACTGTCAACATTAAATATTACGTTAATGCTGCATAATATATTTTTTATTGGAGATTAGTTGGTGTTTATAAATATGTTATCATTTACTTTATATTTAATGAGTGAAAATATATTCGGTTGTCCAGTTTAGGGTAACTATGCCTAATAAAACTTTGATTCATTCATATTATTTATTATTTTTTTACTTTAAAAAAAATATTAAATTTCAAGTACTAAGTTTAAAAATGTTTTCGGCTGATATTTTTCATTTTAAATTATTTATTAAAGTTGGAGTCATTGTATGTGGCGATCTATTTTTTACAGTCTATGCTCGCTATCCCAAGGTTCATTGCGATCCCAAGGTTCACTGCGGTTTTCCACAAGGTAAGTAAAAAGTAAACAAATAAACACGATTTGTTGATAAAGCATGTACTGTGAACTAGCAACGTTATCTAATTACATCAAGTTCATTTATTAAAAACATATTTTTCTCACATATAACGTTGGTCATGCATTAGAACAATATATACATTTTAAGATAAGGAACAGTGTAACCAGATTGTTGTTTTCTACAATAGAATTCGTGCAAAATCTATATATAATATGCAATATGCAACTCTAATAATACAAATGTATTCGTAATTGTTTCAATATTAAAGAACATCAAGTGTTTCCAAAGGTTTATTGTAAAAACAATTATTTTCCATGCCTTTAAAGGAAAAAGGCAGAAATTTTGCCCGTCTGAGCACATTTTATTCATTGTACAACACAAAACTAAACAAAAAAATAGCTTAATCTACCACACACACACACACACATATATATATATATATATATATATATATATATATATATATATATATATATATATACAGGTGTACATTATAAGGTGTTCACTGTTCAGATATGAATATTTTTTCTTTGCTCTTTTCAGGTTCTTTAGATTTCTTTAAAAATCCAATTTTGTTTTCTAATAAGCAAAAAGTAAAATCACTTTACCCATGTTTATATGTTAAATTGCACTTGTCTCTCTCTCTATCTCTGTTAACACATTTATATTTGTTTGATTAATTCTTGTGTCTTTCAGCCTGTTTCTGCCTATCACCATGAGTGATTCCTCAATACTCAGATTTATCATCAAGATCTCAATTATAAGCTCAAGTTTTGATGACAACTTGGTGATCTGCAGAAAGCCCCACCATGTAAGGAAGGCCAAGACCACTCTGGAATCAGTCAAGGGTTAGTGAAGTTTTTCATTCCATGTATATTAAATATCTACATTGTTTAGGCATATGTGATTGTATGAGATAAAATGCATTTATTCTTTCACTACTATTGTAATAACAGAAAGAAACGCATTAGTTTTACTATTACTATTGTTTATGACAAACATTAAAAAACTACAGCATAAGCTCACAAAATATTGTGGCCTAACTGTTTAAAACTAATTGTTCTGGGTGTTGATAGTGGCCAACCATTTTTTTTCTTTTTCAGAAAGTATTTTGTTTTGTCTGATTTTATGACACCTTATAGGCCATCAACTGCCCACATTGGGGTTTAGGAAATTAGAACTGCTTATGCTGCTTGTCTACTAGTCTTAGGATAAGTTAGAAATGTTATAAATGTACATTTTTTTTGTTGTTTTTATCTGGTACAGCTCATAGGAACTCCAATCTTCCCAACTGTGAGAGGGCCTTGCTCCAGTGACTGTCAGTGTGTACTTCATTGTTTCCATTAGTTCCTGTATCTGTAGACCTAGGTGACAGTGGGCTAGAGTAAAATTTTGGTTTTATTTAAACTAAGGCATACTGATGGCCTTTTTATCTCAGATTTGGTCATGCAAGTATTAATATATCCTAAAGTATTTTTATATTCTTTCCATTGGTGGAAAATATGTTGGTATAATTATTTTTAATGGACTGCTAAGATCTCAGCAGACATTTTTCTGAGATATTCTTGAGTGGGAGTCTGTGCAATACAAGGTGGATAGTATTTGCAAGGAAGAGCCCTTCATCTGTTCTGCTTTCACACTAGATATACTGCCAATTTAAGTAGATATGAACCATAAGCATAACCATTTCAAGAATGCACGAGGTACTTTAAACTGTATGTGTTGAAACTAAATTAACAAGAAAACAGCTCTGTGATGTTCACCTAAGAAAATTAGATTAGAAGATATAAACTGTTATGCACTTGTTCTGTACTGTTTCATTCCTTTTTCAAACACTGGCATTTTTGAAGGTTTATTTACAGCTAAGGATTAAGAATTGACAGGAAGATTTGTGGACTACATCAACTAATGACACTACCTCCAAAGAGTTGCAAAAAGCTGTCCAAAGTTTCAGCACCATCTTTAAGCCCATGATTTTAGTGTGTTTCATGCCTAATCACATGAGTTTATATCTGAGATAGATGAACTATGTGATTGTCTTAAACTGATCTACAAGTAAATGCCAAAACTTATTGGTTTACTTATTTATTTATTTGTTTGTTTGTTTGTTTGTTTGTTTGTTTGTTTGTTTGTTTGTTTGTATATGTTAACCAGGTGAAATGGAGTGAGGCATACCAGGATATGCCTGGTTTTACTTTTGGGAAGGAGGTTGAACAGTGCAATATTTCTTCTATAGGATTGCAGTGACCAGACATGCTACTGTAACTCTCATGGTCATGTGCTGGAATTAGCAGATATTCAACAATTTGGCCATCTCGCTGACCTGTTGATATCAGAAGGTAACAATATCCAGTTGAATTTGTTTTAGTTGTTCAGTAACCTATTTGAATAGTATTGTGATTTTTTGATTGCTTATCACTGTAGACCGCAACAGCTCTACAAAGCAAGTTGCAAAACAGAATCCATGAAACTGGCAGTGACTGGAAACCAATTGGAAGACTTTGGTCTGTGATGTAGAGGAGTGGGCAGAGGGTGAGGAAATTCTTATTAATATTACATGTAGTCATGAAAAATTGTGTTACTATTACTGTCATTTTTTTTTCAGTAGCAGAAGCAAAGACAACAAAAAACAGAAGTGATATGGATGTCTTTGTCATATTGCATGGTATGGACACTAGACTTCTGTCAGTGTTGATTCTTTAAAAGTTGACGTATAATCCTTGTTATACAACTTTCTTTTCATAAATATATTTCAGACTCTGCTGACCCAGCAACAAAGAGGAGGGTGTTCAACATCATCCTGCTGGTCAGGATTCTTCAGGAGAAGCAGTGGATTCTTGTGGCAGAGATGTTCAACCACTATAAATACCTTTCAACTCATCCTGGTTCTTTCAAAGAACTTTCTTGCTTGTTTGCTACTGAAATGTACTGGTATGTATTTGTATTTTTTGGCACAGACATAAGCATAAGGTTACCCAGTCCAAAGAATATTAATATATTTTTATGTTGTTGTGTTCTTTTTTTAAGATTCGACATGTGCCCTTAACGAAGAGGGGTTAAAAGGTCTATGGATCATCATTCTCAAAAAGCAACAAAATAACTGAGAAATAAACAACAATACGATGGTGCAATCTAGAGACCTGCAAGGTACCTGCAAGTTTTGGCTGGAGCAGAGAACATAGATTTTTTTTAAATAAAGCTCCAGCTGATGAGTATGACATTGACTGTGGATGTTCTTTTACTGTAATCCAGAAGAGGATGACCTCAACCCTGAATCTAAAGCATGTAATAAAATCTGTAAAAAATTAAATAAAATTGTCATCTATAACCAAATTGTCTTTTTTTTTAAATACATAGATATGTACAGTATGTAAGCATTCCTCTAAAATCAATCAGTGTTGTAAATTAAGAGCATTATTGTATGCCTAACTGCTTACAACATATAACGATTTAAGGAACTCTATATTAAAATAAAATTATTACATTAAGTGACATTAAGAGCTTTTAAAATATTAATTTTATGATACATTTTTATGATAAATTTAATTTTTGCATATACTTGGGCAAAAAATGTACATTATTATGGTCAACTGCTCAGATACCTCCAGTCAATATGTGGCTGAGTCAGGCAACCAGACTTCTACCTCTGGAAAAATTAACCTATGATTTACATCAAAGATCTGATGGATCCATTTGGTCCTCATGGATTTTTCTAAAAAAAAAAAAAAATTAATCTCCTTTTATTTTTGTCCTTACTTTGAAACATTTGTATTAATTTGTTAGAATGTCTAACAAAAAACTGCTGCACTTGTTGTGAGATAACAGTGCGACGGTTGTTATTCTGAAAATAAAAATTAACTTTGTATAATGTTTTATTGAATGCAAGATAAAAAATAAAATATTTTCCAAGAGATGGATTGCGGCTGGAAGAGCATCTGCTGCATAAAAACATGCTGGAAAAGTTGGCGGTTCATAGCACTGTGGCGACCCCTGGTTAATAAAGGTACTAAGCCAAAAAGAAAATGAATGAATGAAAATAAAATATGTATTGAAATATGTATTTTTGGTAGACATAGAACTACACAGTAACTTATAAATACAGCACAGAACTATTTTACTTCTAGTTTAGATAATTTAAATGTTTGCATTTTTATTTTGTTGGTTAATGGCTATGTATTTTTAATCATTTGGAGGTTTGAACTATTCGCAGCATTTGAAAGGATATCTTTTCATCATTGTTACCTCATTTCTCAATATTTTCATGATTCTTACAATGCAGCAAATCTTACAATCATTTGATCATAAAAAAAATAATTAACAAATTAACCCACATGCAGGACAAAGACATTATGTGGAATCATTATTAAACACAAGTTCATTCATTGTCATCAAATCATACTGTTACACAAACAGTTGAAGATTTAGTAAGTAAAAATAATCAGATAAAGAGTGGTTTTTAAACAAATACATGTCTTTAAAAAGGTTTTATTTATAAACATTTACATATTTTAAAAGAGCTTTTATCCATATTTCAAATAAAGTGAAAACAATTAAACATCACATGATGACCATTAATGAAACACACTTACAGAATTACATCCACACATATTATTCTGAACTCATAATATTTGTGATGAACATAGATCACTATTGCTAATAACTTGTGATTAAAGAGGATACTAATGTTTAGCTTATTTTTACAACTTTTTTTTTTTTACCACAACTGTACATGTGACAATACAATTTCTTGTCCATGTTGAAGATAATACATCTACATAGGTTAACTGCCCTTTTACTCAAAGGGGATGAGTAGAGCCCCGTAGAAAAGGAAAAAGTATTCACATTCATTTCAAACGAGAAATGAGTGAGAGAATATCAGCAAGACTATTACCTATGCTATGTTCAATAAATAATGTTGGATATAATAGTCTGATATATACTGATCAAGTCAATAAAAGCTGTTTAAAAAATACTCATTGTAAAATAACAAATTTATGCCTGGCTTTCATATATGTCATAAATATATGCACAATTACCTTATTCAGATAGTCTTTAGTTCATTAAAATTTGTATCTGTTCCATTTTATTACAAAAAGGCTTTAAACTACATTACCCACAATCCTTTGTCGCTGTATAGATGGGAGGGGAAAGACATGGCGCTACAAATTGTAGTTCCTTGAAAGGTGTAGTTAGGGTTAAGTTTAGGGTTACGATCTTGGTTAATCGTTAACTATTTAAAACACAGCGATAACTCATTGATAAAGGACACTGTTAGTAAAGTGGCAAAGTTAGCAAAACATAGTTAGCAACACGAAGGATCTTTTAATTTGGCTTTGAAGTTATAGTCCAATCACAACGTCGCAATCTACGTCACACTTTGTCTCTATTTGGTAATCTTCCGGCTGAAGGTTGATTATAACCTTATAATATAACTTAAATATCAAAATGTGTATTAATATTACATGTTATTTATTGTCTTATTAAAAATACAAATGTATATTTACCGTGAGATTACTTTGTGGGGGTAACCTGATGTGCAAAATGATCATAGTAAAACCAGATCATAGGCAGTATACTTAATTTGAAACGAATAATAAAATAATAAAAAAGCTTAATGTTTGAAAACATTTCAAGCATTTGCTGTAACTAAACCCTGCATCATGTAGGTATACAAATATAAATATATGTCAAACTTAAATGACAAATATAGTGCCCATTAAATAGTATAAATAGTAGTTCATTGTAAATGAGTATGCAAATAAACACAATACATTTTTAATGAAACATTTATAATTTATTTATAATGCCACAAATAAAAATAAATAATAAAAATCACACAAAAATGCAAAAATATATATTTTAACCAAAAATATATATTTTATAAGTTTTTAATGCAATAATATATTACCATACATATATAAATGATTAAAAACAATTATAATTGAAGGAAATGTATATTTTGTATTATTATTATTATTATATTTATTTTGTGATATTTATTCATGTCATACATCTGGTATGTCAAGCTCAAGTAAAACTGCACTGCAAAAAATCTTTTCAAATGATGCCTTTGGAAATGCCATCATAATAAACAGCTTTCACAACAACAAGAAGTCAAGTTCATGACAAATGCAAATTATGTTTATAATAACAACTTTCTGAACTTAAACATCAAAAGTAGAATAAGTTCAAAACATATTCAAGTATTTACTGAAGAATAGCAAAAACTATTTTTACAAAACACTGAGAACCAAAGTGTGCTTGGTGAGTCCAGGTGTTTATGCTGACTAGACTGTCATATTGCAATCCGGTTAGCATGAGGAGACTTGGGCGTAAAGTGTCAGGAATTCCTGGAGGGCTCCCATGTGTTATTCCAGGTTTTGCCACTGTAAAGTATTAGAAGTGCACAACATCATTACTGAACAAAGAATGAGTGTTAGGTTTCATTTAGAAAGTTCAGTGATATTTATTTATATATGTAAAGTGTCATTAAACCTGGCACTCTTGAATTAACTGTATAATAGGTTAAACATTTCTAGCATGTTTCCATTTATTCCAAGCAGATCTGTCAGTTCTACAAACTCAGAGATCAGGATAGTGACTGCACTTCTCATTATGAACACCCTTATCCTTCTCATACATTTTTATCACCACTGATGTCCACTGTTGTAGTTTTCATTGAAGGGAATGCTGACACAAATTCCAGCATGATTTTTTAAATAGCAGAATATGGGTATTATTGGGCCAAAACCTTAAAAAATATAAGATGCAAGATTTGAATCTTGATGAACATATTGTTAATTCACGTCTTGCAATTTAAAACACATCTCATGTTTGACTCATCAATTATATGAAAACTACAACAGCATACTGTGCTCCACCCTAAAAATATTTCTAAATTATAACAAGCTTATTGCTTTACATGGCTAAACATTTATTTTATGCCTGCATGATTCACTGCTATTACTGTAACCCATTACACTCTTAACCCAAACTAGTTGACTTTATTAGAAAACTGCATCGAAACATGTTGCCTTAAATCCTTTATGTTTTTACACAAGGTGAAACTAAACAGCCCACTTTAAATTAACCTAGAACCTTTACAATCTTCTTGAACTTACAGTAATATTTTAATTCAAGTATGGCTGTTAAGTTGTACCTTGTATAAAATGTAAGGGGTTTAAGCCACTGGGTTTCTATACAATTTTCTAGTAAAGTCAACTAGATTGGGTTAAAGGAATAGTTCACTATTTACTCTCCTTTAAGTGGTTGTAAACCTTTTTTAAAAACTTCCAAGTTACTTTGTGTTGAACATGAAGGAAGTTTTTTGAAGAAAGCTGGAAAGCTGAAAACATTGACATACATAGTAGGAAAAAACAAATACTATGGAAGTTAATGTTTGCAGGTTTTCATCTTTCTTTAAAATATAATTTTTTTGTGTTTAACTGAAGTAAGCAAGTCAGACATATTTGGAACAAGTGAAGGATGAGTCAATAATGACAGAATCTTCATTTTTGGGTGAATCTCTTTAAGAGTATACTGAAAGAAATGTCCTACTCAATGAAGCTAACTTCAGCTGCATGTGTAGCCCCATGAGTACTTATCTAGAAATCAAAACAATGATCACATCAGTCCCATTTTAGGCCCTTTATATCATATTGGCCACAGAATGGACTACTTAGTGTTGCAATAAAATAAAAAAATTAATAAAACTATGACTTACCACACAATACAAGACAAACAGTGAATTTTCAGCTCTGCCTTTGCTGTACACAAGATGAGGTTCCAGCTTCAACACTGATCTGAGTGGGGCAGTTGTGCAGCTCTGTGAGGTTGTGACTGTTTAGCTGCAGTGCTGTGAAGAGTTCTTTATTAAAAGAAAGTACATTCTTTTAAAATCTGTACATAATAACAAAGAAAATACAATGATTTTAAATAATGATTAATTCTGAACAAAAACATTACCCTTAGTCAAGATGAATTCATATGTCAAAAGTTTCTGCATCTGAAATGAATAAAAACAGATGTGACATTAGTTAAACCCACTAAACTACTAGATACATCAGTACTGCATTAAGCAGTTGTAAAGTAATGTTAATGTAGTCCAAAATGAGCCTTAATCTGTTTAAGATAATGATTTAAAAAAACGTTGCTTGTGTTAAAAACAATCCAGCCACTTGTAATACA